TAAATCAAAAGCATGCTGAGGAAGTTGTTAATTTTGATTCGCAACCTGAGTTAAGCACTGATTATACCTTCTCCTCTGCAGAATTCCTGTCACAGGATAATTTTGTTACCCTAGGTATTTCTCAACCACTTTTCATGCCATGATAAACACAAGATTATATAACCTATCTGGCATACTGGCTGACCTTTACCAGCTGCTCTCAGGTACTCTAAGAGCTGAAGGATCAGTATTTTAGTACAGACAACTCCATCTTGTGTAACAGTTCACCTTACTATTTACAAGAATGATTAACTACATGAATTCAGAAACCACCATTGGTTTTTGACAACAAAAGTTCTTAGGGTTGTAGAAGATCTGTAAGTTGTGGTCACTTTTCTGACATTATGCAATGGTAAACAAAAAGGTGGGAAACAAATAAAAGCATATTTATAGCTCAAATAGAGAAAATAAAACTATTTATACAACTGAGACTTGAAAGTTCTTTTCTATTGGGTAATAATGTGAGTGAAGCTGCCAGAATTATAGTGTTTGTCATATAAAAAACAGGGTCTATGTGAATAAAGATTAAAGTCTAAATCTTCATGGTATGATACAGTCAAGTGATTACTTGAAACACAGCTAGTTAAATTGAGATAGCATACAAAATTATACATGGAAGTTTAAAAAATATAAATATATGAAATGAAAAATGTAAATTCCTTCATCATGTATTTATATTGATTACAGGTTGAAACATAAGATCTCACTACTAGAGAATTTTAAATGACAGATGTGGCTGGCATTTGTGACACATATTATTTTTCTAGTGAACACCACTGATCTAAATTCAATGCTCAAGCTTTCGCAAAACTGCTTATTTTCATATTGATAAATCAAGGAGTATCTGTATTGAGCTTCCACAAAAGATATTTTGGGAGGAAGGAACCCCAAAATATCTTTCACTTTAAAAGATTTTTTAAAAGCTTGAAAACCTCTGATCTAATAAGAGGAATTTACAATTGTTTTACCTGGTGTATTCGTTCTTGGCTGAGTAACTTCAGTAGTACTGTGAGTCAGAAGTTCTGGTCTGTAAAAATGCGGTTGATATTAGTAACAGAGCATTTAGGAATGCCTTAGAGGCCTTCCCCACACAGCTGTGCACTGCCACTGATTTTAAATGTCGTTCATTCGCCTTCTGCAGTGAAAATGATCATTTTGGTGACTCCAGATTATTTTGAAAATAGCAATTTTCACAGATTTCAGGTCCTCAAAGGCATTTTAAGCTTAACTGTACAAAAGAGTCACCTTTTCCCCTAACCAGCTCAACTTTGTTTCTAAACCTCACATGAACTATACCTCAATACAGCTAGAAATATCTAGCTTTGTCATCCTAAGGCTGCCCCTCTGTTATAAAATTAGTACTAACACACATACAGAAATGAACAACCTCTAAACAGTAAAAGTACTAGAGTCTATCCCCACCACAATCCTTCTGTATTAAAGCAGGCCTTCTGTTCACACTCCCTACTCCCAAATTACCTATTTTGCCATCCTTCAAATCCAAGCCAAAATAACATTTAAAAAATGCAAACCCAAATTATTTTAAGGGGAATCAGCTTTAAAACTTTTTAATTACTCCACTGACTGTGTAGGTTATTAGGCCTTTTTCCACTTGGCCACCTTAGTTTACCACAAAGCAACTCACTCATTTCACAATGAATGGTGGGGTTAAGTAAACATTCAAGTACATTTGACACTTCCCTGCCCCTACTTATCTTATTTCCTTTCCTCCATTCTCCATATACAACTGACCAATCTACATGCCACCTGTCTTCTCAAAAGTGCTCAGTAATACTTTATTGTATTTATCTCTGTAATAAGCCTCCCAAAGACAGGGTTCTTGTTGATCTCAATTTTGTACATCTGGTGCCTGGTACTAAATCAACATTTGCTCAATAAATGAATCTAAAAGTAATACCTTAATTTTGAATATAAGAGTCAGTCCAATTGAGAAAGTAACAAAAGGCTCATTTACATGAAATGTATCTTTTCTTAAAGAAAACATTAACTTTGTTTCTACAGATTATAATATTACCTTTTAATAACAAATTTAATTCGATTGCCCACTTGAATGATTTTTTCAAGCCTTGGGATTCCATACCACGAGGGACTTCTAAAAGGAATATTTTCTGGAAGTCCTTCCACATAGAGATCATTAGGATGTGCCTCGAACTTCTGGTAAGGTACAGCCTTGGCTTCAGTACTCCCCAAGGCTTCAGCTTTACAGAAGAAAAGCAAAAGGAGATTAAGTTTTTGCTGAAATCATATTTTTGTACAATCCATAGCAAAGTCAACTTTTTGAAAAGCCAAGTATACTCTGGAAACATATATAATAACTACTGAAATAGACTTAATACAGCAAATTCAAGTATTAAAGGCTTCTGTTCAAGGGTAACTTGGGGTGAATTTGTTTCCTGATTCTAAGACCATATATATTAACAGCTCTAAGATCTTATAAAAATTTTTTTCAATATCTTTGGGAAGAAATAAAAACAAAATCATGCATGACGCAATAAATAATGCAACTTAAACACTACTTTTTCAAACATCTGAAGGCAGATTTTTGCTACTTAATGTTGTATGAACATAATAATCATTTTATTGGCTCCTACACACTAAGTTATTTTAGGCTATACCTTTATTTGACTGTAACCATGAGATTATTTCTTTACCCCTTAAACGTCATGAGTGAACCATTTTAAAAGGAAATAACTTTGCACAAAGAATTCATGGAATGGGAAATAAAATAGTAAGCAGAGACCTGTTTAGATTAAGAGACACATCAACCAAAGTAAACAAATGAACCTTGTTTACATACAGATTCAAAGCAAAAACTTTAAATAGACTTTCTGGATGAATGAGGAAATTCAAGGATGGACTAGATAACAGTGGATACAAAGAAATAGTCAATTCCGTCAGGAGTGATGACACTGTGTTTGTGTAAGGAAATGTCAACACTGTTTATGGCTGCACACTAAACAAATAAAATGACATAATGCCTATGATTTGCTTTACAAGAATCCTATAAAGAGAAAAAAGAGAAACTACCAAATGTGGAAAAAGTCATAAATGATCACTGAATATGAAATTAGGCATATGGGAATTCATTGTACTTTTTCCCCTGCTTTTCAACAGACACAGAATTGAAGTTCTGTAAAGTTCTGTACTTTTTTTCCTGCTTTTCAATAGATACAGAATTGAAGAAATGTAAAAATGAAATTACGAATCCTTGCTCTGAAACCACATCCAAACAGAGCTTTTATAAGATTCGGACAATTTACACAATATCAGTATATATAGGTTTCCCTTGTATTCTGTACGATACATTTAAATATTCTACAATCTGATGGTTTAAGAATGCTTCTTTGAAGAATTATTTGCATTTCTTTGATTCTTAGATTGACTTTCCTTTCAAAATTAAAGGCCTTCTGTGTGAATTTTTTCCATGAAAAATTCAAGATTTATAGTGTTTGACAGTTATAGAGAATCTAGGTTTTCTTCTTTCCCTTTTAGGGACCTTAACTTAAAGCAGCAATTCTGCTGGCATTCTAAGTAGCTACAGTCCTAGACCCACCTAAGGCTATTAACCTCAACTAAAAAGAGCCAAGTTTTTGTTGTTTGTAATGCCACAATACATAATCTCTTACCTATTTTCTTAGCTCTGATAGATTGTCAAAGTACTTTCCACTGACCATTTTTTCCTTGTAAGAACACTAACTTGTCAACAGCCTCCTCTTTTCATGAGGCAAAAGTCAGCTTGCTTGGAAAGCATCAATGATCCTAATAGGTTTGGCTGCTTCTTTTCCCAGGCTCAATTTCCAGAACTAAACATGAGGGAAAAGTTAAGGCCTGTTCATGGGGATACTCATTATCATATGTCACTCGTGAGTTACAATGAAAGTATGGTGGCATTTCTAATGACAAACAATGTTCATCATCTGATTTATTTTATCAAATACCTTGGAAATATGATTTTTAAAGTGCTGAAGATTATTTATTGTTCATTAGCTGATTAAGAGGAGATAAATTATCACTAAGGTCCTATATTTGTGGTAGGCAGTCAAGGATATCAAAGAGGAGAAAAATCTTAAAATTCTGATAGATTGTCAAAGTACTGATGCATGAAATTCTAGGGGAGTTAAACAGTATAAGTAAAAGAGAAGTACAGGATTCTGCAAACAATACATGATTAGTGATCTCCATTTGTACCAATCACCTGTGTTGCCCCTAAAAACTGGTTTCCTGGGACTTTAAGACCAAGTGCCATGCACTCCTCTTGAAACCATAGGACAAACAAGAATCCTCACCCAGGAGACTTGGCTCTTTTTGTGGTGCAATTCCAATGGTTTCTTTCACAAAACAGTGAGGACCACTGTGGTCCTGGGGATTCTCACACACAGCTCTCCACTGCAGCCTTTCTTGCCCGTGATAGCTGTGGCACTTCTGTACTTTGGTCTTCTCAATACTATTATTTAATGAGGCCCAATGTACAGTATGTAACTGAAAGGTTCAGTGATAGGTATCTGAGGGCTTTAGAAGACACTTTAATGACACCGGTCCATTCAGTAAATATTTGTTGAGCACCTGACCAAGCACCAAGCACAGTTCTAGCAATAAACAAGACAGACAAGGTCTAGACTGTCATATCTATATGTTACATTGGGAGAAGACAGACAACCATTAGTACCATTTTTTTGAGGAAAATAAAAAGGGTGATGAGCTACAGCATGCTTAGTGATTTATGTTAGGATACTCAGTAAAGACCTCTCCAATGTGGCTGCATTTAAACTGAGATGTAAATAAAAAAGAGATGCACAAGAACACCTGAGACAGAGCAGTACAGAGACAAGAACAAGAATGGTACAACAGTGCAAGCAGGGTATGAGCTCAGAAAAAAAGAGAACAAGTAGATGGTCATTATAGCTGGTACGAAATGAACAAGTGAGATAGAAAATGAGATGACATTAGAAGTAAGGCAGGATGACTGTGTTTACTCTATCCAATGGACTCAGAAGTATGCCACATGATGCTACCTAAAAGTCAAAATTTTAAAAAATGGAACATGTGTTTATGTGGCCAATGTCTTCACTCTAACTCAGTTATGACACTAAAACCATTCCTTACTGCTCTTACATGTTGAAGAAATCACCTGAGGGAGAAGATGGATGATCAGTTGTCACATCAAAGGAAAAAGATGATTCTAGCAGCATCCATTTTTGTTTAAGCCTTCCACTATTAGATCTGTTACATGATATAGTTTATGCTCCTAACTGATACGGCTAGAGACATAGTACTGAATTAACAGCATCTGCCTAACAGAAAATGTGATGTATTTTATGCATGTCAATAAAGGAATGACCTGTTCTTATTCTACAGAGAATGGAAATTAGAAAACGATCTTTGTATTCCAAAATAAGAGTCTCAAATATTTTGTAATTTTCATTTAAATTTTAGAAGGCTTGGAGCTATCAATTTATCTTCCAATACATTGTTTAATATAGCACCGAATAAATGATGCAAGTTGTCAATGGATGAGCGATCAACTAATAGCTCTGCCAGTAACTGATTTATTTTTCTTCAATAAAGTTGCATAAACCAAAAATAGAAAAAAGAAAACAGAAAGTAATCAGGATAAAGATAACATATTATTTTTAAGATATAAGATGAAGTGACTACCTGTGGAGAAAGCATAGCAAGAAAGAAAAAAAGGCGGCTCCAGACTGAGCTGTAGAGAACCATTCCCAAAATTTAAAGAATGAACAAAAGGGAGGTGACATCAAGAGAAATAAAATGACAGTCAATGAGACAGGAAGAAACTATGAGTCAATAATTTTCCATAAAAGTAGTTTAAAATAGTTTTAAGAAGAAAAATAAGACAACTATGTTGAATGCCGTTGAGAAGTAGGATAAAGCAGGGGAAAGAGGAG